TGTGTCAAAGCCCATCAGCCTTGGACTTTAGCTCTGCCTTCTATTCTCGGCCCACCAAAGCTAAAGGCATCTCTTCACCCAGGCAGCTACTGGCTGCTGAGGCTAACAAGCTCAAGGTTGACAAATAAAATGGCACAGTCCTGATGTTACCAAACCACATGGCAGGCCATTAACTCAAGTCTATTGTAAGTCCCATGGTTGGCAGAGCATGGCAGGCTGCTGCATAATGACATGGCTACATGCAGGGTTCAAGCATGCCATAAACTAGAGACCATTCCCAAAGCTGTTTCTTAATATACAGGAAGCAAACCACATCCCTAAAGCAACTACTCAGCTGCTTGTGGTAGATCCCACCATGGAGTTGATTGCCAGTCTCCTCATGGGGAATAACTACCACCAGCTGCCCAGCCACTCAAGCAGGCCCAGCCAAGCTGACACACAAACATGACCACCACACCACACAACCAAAGTATGAGAGAGAAAGTCTCCCCATCCTCACTTCCAAGGAGCACCCTGGCTGTACTTCTAAGATAGATGTGTTCGGTCTTCTGGCAGTCTGTGGTTTAGTTAATATTCTTTGCTAACACCACAGTTCAAAGGCATCAATTCTTCTTCCACCTTCCTTATTCATTGTGCAGCTTTTGCCTGCTGGTGGGGTGATCAGAAAAACCATGGCTTGAGTCAGGCACACCTTAGTCCTCCAAGTGACATCTTTGCTCTGTAACACTTTAAAGAGGTCTTTTGCAGCAGATTTGCCCAGTGCAATACGTGTGTCGTTTGATTTCTTGACTGCTGTGCCTGTGGGTGTTTGATTGTGGATCCAGGTAACGTACACTCCTTGACAACGTCAATCTTTTCTGTTTATCATGATGCTATTTTTTGGTCCAGTTGTTAGGAATTTTGTTTGCTTTATTTTGAGGTATAATCCACACTACAGACTGTGCTCTTTAATCTTCATCAGTAAGTGCTTTAAGTCTTCTTCACTCCCAGCAAGTAAGGTTCTATCTTCTATGTATCTCAGGTGGTTAATGAGTCTTCCTCCATTCCTGATGCTGCATTCTTCATATAGTCCAGCCTCTTGGATAATTTGCTCAGCATACAGATTGACTATGTTTAGTGAAAAGATACAACCCTCATGCATACCTTTCCTGATTTAAACCATGTAGTAACTCCTTTGGCCTTGGTGACAGAAATAATGCTGGAACTCGTATGGTAGAATTTTGCAAGACCAACGACTTTTTCCTTGCAAACACCTTTTTTCA